TGTGGAAGCAAGGTGCCATGTACAGGGCCTCTGTACCTGGCACACAGCTGACATTGTGACCATACCATGCTGTGTGCATGTGTGTAAAGGCCATGTGCTGTATACTGTAAATAAGTCTGGGGGTTTTTTAAGGGAAGAATGAGGCCATGTTCTGAACGTCATTATATTTCTGTCTTCAGTTTTCTTTTTCTGTTTATTTACATATTATTTTTAAGATATCACTAACCATTTGATTGAGTAATCCATGTATATAGTACAACATTCAAAGGGTAGAAAAGATAACGTGTTTGCATGCGAAGTCACTTCAGTTGTGTCCAACTCTTTGCAACCCTATGGACTGTAGCCCTCCAGGCCCCTCTGTCCATGAAATTCTCCAGGCAAGAACACTGGAGTGGGTTGCCATGTCCTACTCCAGGGGATCTTTCTGACCCAGGGGTCAAATCCGTATCTCTTAATGTCTTCTGCATTGGCAGGCAGTTTCTTTCCCACTAGTGTCACCTGGAAAGCCCCTAGAAAAAGAGTATGATGTCATATAAAATGTCTTCTTTCCTACTCATGCTTCCCAATTTCCCCCTCCAGAGATGAATTTCTTGTGTATCCAGAGATATGCCCATATAAGTTATGCCCATATAAGTGTGTATTTTTTTTCCCCAAGGTACAGTCTGTTCTATACCTTGTTTTGTTTAGTTTTTCCCATTTTGTAATGCACCTTGGCATTTGTTCTGTATCTGGCCAAAGAGAGCGCCCTTATTCTTTCAAGTGGCTGAAAGTGACATTAGAAAGTACCCTAATCAAAGTTATTCATTGTTTTGAGGAGGAAAATTATGTCCTAAAGGTGATAAGTAACTGGTTGGGATTCTACTTCAGAGTGAACAGATTCTGTTTAGGAGTGAACAGAGTTTTTAATCGAATGTTCTTGGCCCCTTTTTTCTTTTTTAATAGATGATTTTTTAGTGCAATTTTAGGTTCGCAGGAAAATTGATTTGTATCTTGTAGAAAATTCTAATACATGCACAGCCTCAATCATTACCAACATCCCCCACCAGAGTGGTTTATTTGTTATGATTGATGAATCTGCATTGAGACATCATTATCAACCAAAGTTCATTGTTTACATTACAATTCACTCTTGTTGTGTGATGCATTCTGTGAGTTTTTACATTTTCATGTGATGACATATATCCCCCATTATAGTGTCATACAGATAGTATGTATTTCACTGTCCTAAAAAGTCCTCTGTTTTCTGCCTGGTCATCCCTTTCTGCTAACCCCTGGCAACTACAGGTTATCTTATTGTCTCCATAATTTGCATTTGCCAAGATGACATGTAGTTGGAATCATCAGTATGTAGCTTTTTCAGTTTGGCTTCTTCACTTAATAGTGTGCATTTAAGTTTCCTCCACATCTTTTCATGGTATGGTAACATTTCCTTTTAGTCCTCAATGATATTCCATTTCTGGATTTACTGCAGTTTGTCCAATCACCTGCTGAAGGACATCTTGGTTGTTTCCAGGTTTTGACAATTAGGAATAAATCTGCTAGAAACATCCATGTACAGCTTTTTGTATGGATGTGAATTTTCAGTTCCTTTGGGTTAGTACTGAGGAGTATAATTGCTGGATCATATGGTAAGAGTATGTTTAGTTTTGCAATAAACTGCCAAACTGTCTTTCATGGTAGCTGTACCATTTTGCGTTCCCACCAGCAATGAATGAGAGTTCCTGTTTCTCCATACCCACATCAGCGTCTGGTGTTCAGGCTTCTGGCCATTCTGATAGGTGTGTAGTGGTATCTCATTGTTTTAATTTTCATCTCCTTGACAACATAGGGTGTGGAGCATCTTTTCATATGCTTGCCATCTTTTTGGTGAGTTGTCTTTTAGGTCTTTGGCCCATTTTTTAATCTGTTTGTATTCTTTTTGTTGTGTTCTAAGAATTCTCTATATATTTTGGATAACAGTCCTTAATCAGATATGTGTTTTGCAAATATTTTCTCCCAGTCTGTGGCTTGTTTTTTCATTTTCTTGATACTTGATTTTTAAAAAGATATTTTTTACTTAAACCTTTTAAAATATTTTTTTAACTCAGATCTTGGTCCATCTTTAGGTTTATAGTTTCTATTGTACTCACATTTAAGCTTTAAGTGTTCAGATGTTTCTGGAATACTTCTTTGTTTACATAGGTGGTAAATTAGTTCTTAGAACCATTCTCAGCATCCCATACCTCTGACAGTACCTCTGTGACATTTGATAAGGTGGAGACCAACCATTTTTATACAGTTTCTTTACATTGTATATTTCATTTGGTTGATTTTAAAAGTTGAGACACAGTTTCAAAGGTTAGGCTTTTAAATATACTGTTCAGGTTGTGGAACCATATTTCTTTCTCTTCACTTGCAACTGCTGTGTCTAGCACTTAACTTTCTTTCATTTAGTTTGAAACTCTTATACCTATGTGAATGGGGTCTCTTTCCCTCTCTTAGCCCTAACATGCTGCTTTTTAAAGTTGAACACCAGAGGCTTTCATATCTTAAACACTTAACTGGTATAGTTCATTTCCGTCTTTTGTACACAAATGCATTACTACAGGGAGGTTCAAATCTATTGATATGAAATCACATGATAGATCATTTGGCCCATGCAATAAATAGAAACAATATCTTTTTTATATAATCATGTTTGTGTAAACTGTTATGCACTGGTACGTGAGTTATGGTCAGTGACATGCCTCTTATTATGTATGGTGTCAAGGATGCCATTCAGTTCAGTTCAGTCTCTCAGTCCTGTCCGACTTTTTGCGACCTCATGAATCGCAGCACGCCAGGCCTCCCTGTCCATCACCAACTCCTGGAGTCTACCCAAACCCATGTCCATCGGGTCAGTTATGCCATCCAGCCATCTCATCCTCTGTCTTCCCCTTCTCCTGCCCCCAATCCTTCCCAGCATCAGGATCTTTCCAAATGAGTCAGCTCTTCACATCAGGTGGCCAAAGTATTGGAGTTTCAGCTTCAACATCAGTCCTTCCAGTGAATACCAGGACTGATCTCCTTTAGGATGAACTGGCTGGATCTCCTTGCAGTTCAAGGAACTCTCAAGAGTCTTCTCCAACACCACAGTTCAAAAGCATCAATTCTTCGGCACTCAGCTTTCTTTATAGTCCAACTCTCACATCCATACATGACAACTGGAAAAACCATAGCCTTGACTAGATGGACCTTTGTTGGCAAAGTAATGTCTCTGCTTTTTAATATACTATCTAGGTTGGTCATAACTTTCCTTCCAAGGAGCAAGCATCTTTTAATTTCATGGCTGCAATCACCATCTGCAGTGATTTTGGAGCCCTCAAAAATAAAGTCTGACACTGTTTCCACTGCTGCCCCATCTATTTGCCATGAAGTGATGGGACCAGATGCCACAGTCTTAGTTTTCTGAATATTGAGGTTTAAGCCAACTTTTTCACTCTGCTCCTTCACTTTCAGCAAGAGGCTTTTTATTTCCTCTTCACTTTCTGCCATAAGGGTGGTGTCATCTGCATATCTGAGGTTACTGATATTTCTCCCAGCAATCTTGATTCCAGCTTGTGCTTCTTCCAGCCCAGCATTTCCCATGATGTACTCTGCATATAAGTTAAATAAGCAGGGTGACAGTATACAGCCTTGGCATACTCCTTTTCCTATTTGGAACCAGTCTGTTGTTCCATGTCCAGTTCTAACTATTGCTTCCTGACCTGCATACAGGTTTTTCAAGAGACAGGTCAGATGGTCTGCTATTGCCATCTCTTTAAGAATTTTCCACAGTTTATTGTGATCCACATAGTCAAAGGCTTTGGCATATTCAATAAAGCAGAAATAGATGTTTTTCTGGAACTCTCTTGCTTTTTTGATGATCCAGCAGATGTTGGCAATTTGATCTCTGGTTCCTCTGCCTTTTCTAAAACCAGCTTGAACATCTGGAAGTTCACGGTTCACATATTGCTGAAGCCTGTCTTGGAGAATAAGGATGCCATTAGAATTTTAGTATTTCTTTGGTCTTTCTCCTCTCTCTCCTTAAACATAATATACTCATCTTAGTACCATAGCCATGTAGCAATTCTATTAGATAAAACCAACTATTTAATTTTGCTGGCACAATGCAAGGAGCCCAAACATATTTTGTGTTCTTATATGTATGTCTTTTACATATGTGTGTATAATTTTATATCTTAAATATTAGCCCTTTGCAGCCATTTGCTCGAGGAGGTGGTTTAATGAATTCAGTTGGTACAGATGAAGCACACCAAAAGTCTAAAGCAGAAAAACAAAGCTGGTTTTAACCATATAGTTTCAGAATAGCTAGTCTAGAGAGATTCTTCTCAAGGGCCTTTTCACGGGTATGGACCTTTCAGGATCAAAGGGTTTCTCCTCTGTGGACCAGTGGAGGGCAATGGGGATATTTCAGGGGTTTTTAATCATCTTGGGTGAAAAAAAAGAAGCCTGTTTTTATTTCATTGTCTTTCATTGGAGGCAGTTTGTGGATAACTTAGGCTAACTTCCAAATCCCTCTTTTTTGAAAAAAATTATTTATTTTAATTGGAAGACAGTTTTTCCACAATATTGCATTGACACCTTCCATACATCAACATGAATTGGCCATGGGTATCCTGTCCCTGCCCCCACCGCAAACCTCTCTTCCACCCCTCTAGTTTGTCACAGAGCACTGGACCAAATCCCTCTTAGTGCACCCTGTTTACTAAACTGAGAGAGGGAGAGATGGGCACCAGGATTCAAAGGTGTCTGTGATCGATCTTTCTGATATTAAATGTACCAGAGGTTAGAGACACCAGTTAATTTTAAAGACTGACAGAGAGGGATAGCCATGCCTCACTTCTTCTCTTGCTTAAATAAATTAAGTAAGATAATGTCTTTAGTTATAAGGAGAGATCTACACTTCCTTACTCTTTGAAATCACTCATTCACATACCACCACCACCACCAAACAGCTTTCCTTTTTTTTTTTCTATTAGAGATGAAGATGACATCAATGATGTGACTTCCATGGCAGGGGTCAATCTCAGTGAAGAAAACGCCTGCATCTTAGCAACAAACTCTGAATTGGTTGGCACACTCATTCAGTCCTGTAAAGATGAACCATTTCTTTTCATTGGAGCTCTACAAAAGCGAATTTTAGACATTGGTAAGTATGACCATTGACCTGATAAGACTGTCTGATACAAGGAAAATGTTATCAAGAGTTAGATAGCCTGGGTTCGTGTTTCTGGAAAGTCTGAAGCTTAACAAAAGCTCTGGAAGTAGTCAAGATTTCATGGGTGTTACAGTAATATTTTATTTTAAAAATTATTAAAGTAACTTAAATCATACAACCTGTGGTTTCTGGTATAGGTAGTAGTTAATATCATAAGTGGATTTTTTTTTTTCCTGTGCTCTTCTTCCTTGGTTGGCCTTTAGGCATGTAATTTATGTTACAAATTTGTGTTTATGAAACAAAGAAATAGCCAATGAGATTAAGTCCCTTTTTTCTCATCTCCACCTTGGAACTCAGACCCATCCTTACGGTAAAAGAGTGAAACTAGAATATCAGGGTTCTCTCTGGCCAGTAGTTGTTAGATGGCCTGAAGTATGTGAAAGGAAATGGTAGAGAACATACCTGTTTTATTCTGGAGCCAAACATTTTTGTTGTTAATAGCAAACTCACAGTGGTAACTGAAAAAGGAGACAAATTGAAGAGAGATTGTTGTGTGTGTGTCTTCTCGTTTCTTGTGTACTGACCCAGGGGCTTGCCAGAGGCTAACTCTCCTCCTTCACCCATGTCCAGCTTGAGGGGCCAGCACCAGTGACCTTTTAGTATGCTTGAGTAAGAACCTTTGCCTTCCGTGTTGAAGGCTTCACACAAAACTGTGGAAGTTTCAGATGTTTGATACATCCATGGTATATTTAAGGACTGTTACATATTCTAAGTCTACTTGAAAATTACTCAGTAAATATTTGAGCTCCTACTGTATGCTATACAAATTATCACTTTTTTCACCTCAGTATATATTATCCTTTTATTTTGAAAAAGTAGAATTTACATTAGTTCAAAAGGATTGGAATTCAGAAAAGCTAATTGTAAAATGTTTGTTTGCCGTTTGCTTGTGTTTTGTTTGACTGCTCTCCTCTCCAGCCCTCCCTCCCCCTCTTTCTTCCCCCCTCTCTTTCTTTCTCTTTCGTTTTCTTCATTGCATTCTGTTTTGTACTGTACAGAAAAGGTGGTTCCTTAATTTGGGATTAAGCCTAAGCACATACCTTTCTGTGATGGCTTGGAAAATTTGCTGGTGTTTTGACTGCTTTTAGCCACACAATTATTTAGAACTCTGATGGAGCACAAGTAGATTCGTACTTAATTTTATCAATTCCCTGCCCCCTTATAAATTTTATTTCTAGCTTGATTTAGACCTTGACTGTATGATAGGAGAACTTTTAGTACTGAAAGAACATTTTTGATCTTTTAGGGTGGAGATTGACAGGTGTTTTTTTTTTTTTTTTCTTGCAAAGGACCAGATAGTAAATGTTTGCTACTTTGTAGGCAAATATAGTCTGTGTCCCAACTGCTCACCTCTACTGTTACATTACAGAAGAAGCTGTAGACAATATGTGAACTAATAGGAAAGACTGTATTCCCATCAAACTGTATCTATAAAGAGAGACCAGGTTTAGTTTGCTAACCTCTGCTTTCAAGGAGAATTCTGGGGATAAGTCTTTGTATTTTCAGTTCTTAGTGATAAAACACAAGCTTGTCATTTAATATGATGGAAAATTGCAAAACTTCTTCCCTCTAAATTACCTAAGCTTTTAAAACAAAAACCATAGAGTGAATGGAGTTACGTATTTCTAGGAATGTTCTTCATTTATAATGAAATTCCATGTTCACAGAACAGGTCAGAACCAAGATCATTTTTTAATAACAGGAGTTATAAATTAACCCAAAGAATTTGGGGAGGAAGATTTTCTTACTTGAATATGGTGGGGGAGTAAACATGCCAGTGTTCTTCCTTTTTTGCCAGTTACCTAAATTAAATTACACAGACTTTCTGTAAAATCACATAGTAAGCTTTCAAACACTAACTTGATCTCCTTAATCCATTAATGATGACTTTACCAAAGAGTGTTTTACTTTAAAGTGAGACTTTAACTTTGTAACTCTGTCATGTTTTATTGTCAGTTTAGTGAGGATATTAGAAAATTTGATTGTTCACTAAGTCCTGAAATTGTTTGCAACTCCCAACACTTGTTTATTTTTAGTATTTTAGAAATATGGATTTTTCTTTAACTTAAGCTTCTGTTTTATACTTATGAAATTATTTTCAAAGTTTTTTCCCAGACACTATATATTATTAAATGTTCATTTTTCTTAAAGTATCAACTGGTATGTCATCCTCTACATACCCATGTTTACTCATAATTTTAATCACTGGATTGTTTTAAAATTGTATTATTACTGCTATACATGGCCCCACTATTTATTTATGCTGACGTTTCAGTAAAGTAGATTTGACTTTCCAGTTTTTTCCCCTTGCTTGAATTGTATATTGGTGATGAATTCAGTTTTGCTAAAAAGTAATGAACTACATTTTGAAGGTTTGGTACAGATGAAGCTGAATCATTTTATATCCTTTTTCTATCTGGTTTAATATAGCCCACGTTTTGAACTAAAGTTCAGCATTTCTTATGGCAGCATTTCTTATGATCAAACAGTATATTTAAGATTTGTAGGCTTTTTAAATTAAAGCTTATTTTTTTTGCAATCTTTATTCACACTTTGAGTATATAAGATGTATTTCAGATAGAGTGCAAGCTAAATATTATATTTTTAAAATTTGTGTAAATACATATGTTAAAAACAAACACAATAGCACTTAGAAAACTCATTTAGATGAGATTACATAATTGCATGTATCTTTAGGGTTATCATCTCTGATGATACAGGTGGTTTCACTGAGCTGGAGAACTGCTATTTAAATACTGATGAGGTTGATTTATAAATGAGCTGCTGCTTTGCAGTATGTGGTCGAAATTGTTTTCCTGAAACTTTATTCCTAGTTAGCAGAAGGAAGAATAGAAGTTTGGTTTATTTATAGAAAGAGATATAGTGAAAGAGAAGTTTTTAAAAATTGATGAGTAAAATGATGAGGCTTTGAACTCACTTCAACTTGTAAACTAATTATCAAGTCAATTTATAGAATATGTGTGCAAAGTAAGCATGATTGGTATTGGACAAAAAAAGTATAGGTATGTCGTGTAGACAAGTTATTAACAGAGATTCACAATCTGAATTCATGGAAATAAATGTTGTAAATTGCTAACAGTGTCAAACAGGGCAAAATGTAATTTTCTGTTTTTTTTAATTACTAAAATTAACAGAATACAGCACTAATTTCTGCAGTTACCATTTTCCTCCCTGAACACTAGACTTGATTTGTGTTCTTATTAACTTTGTCCTATAAATGACCTTGCAAGGAGAATGATTCTAGAGGCTAAGTGAAACAATGTCTATATTTTCTGAGGCTCCAGGCTAGGTTTTATTAATGTAATGTCTTAAGATCTTTGAAGTTGTGACTTTACCAGGAAAATCATAATCTCCAAACCTTTATTCATAATGGGTATGACTTCCAGGGGGAACAGAATACCTGCTGTGCTAATTATTTCAATTATCAGCCTCTACTAAAACACGTAATGGATTTTCCCTGCTTCCACAGGTAAAAAGCATGACATTACAGAACTTAATTCTGATGCTGTGAACTTGATCTCCCATGCAACACAGGAGCGATTACGAGGCCTTCTAGAAAAACTGACTACAATTGCTCAGCATCGAATGACAACTTACAAGGTAAAGGAAATCATTAGAGAAGACCAAACTCTTCTCCCTTCTTTGTTCTGTTAAAGGTAGCTTTTTGATATAGATTCATATTCTAGGTACATTTTTCAAGGAAATGGTTGAGACATAATTCATACTGGTAGAAAATCAAAATCTCATTCCTAATGTGCCTTATTTAGATATGTTTACATGACAAATAAATAGAGTTTCAGTAGTATCCAAAGCTTCTATGTTAGTGTAGACTGAAATACGTATCTGTCATGCCTGAGGCTTCTCTTCCTAAAGCTCTTGACTGGAAAGGGGAGGATGTGTTAGAAGGAAATAATTGGGTATCTGTGTTCTCTTCAGTGATCCGTACTCTGCTGGCAACTCCCGTTTCCTTTCACTGAGTTAAGCGATTGCATTGAGGACTTTTATTTAAAAAATTACATGCACGAATAGCCTTGTCTTATCCCTAGTGGTGTGAACCAAATCACTTGCCATCATCAAGATGAAAGCACTAGATTTATTTGTATTATGGTTTTGATGAAGAACAAATATATTGGTTGATGAGGGTTAAAAAAGAAAAAGATAACGTTTCCCCTCATAGCAGGAAATGTTCACAGCTAGATTTTATACATGTTACATGGGTAACCTTTTAACGTTTTGAGTTTGCAAGAATAGTCATTGTCATGATGTCCTAGACATAGGTTAAAAGGAATCTAGGGAAGTATCAGCTATGCTTATGGTAAATTTCCTGGAGGAAATCATTCTATTTTCTCCCCTTTCTGTTTCATTTAGAATTTTGGGAGAACTGTTTATAGTTGCTGAGGTGCTCACTTGTGTATTTGATGTGCTCACTTGAGAATTTGCTAGACTGACTTAAATATCATCAGAAAAAACTGCAGGAAAAAAAGACCCCTAATGTCAGTATTAATTTCTGTGTACTTCTGGAATTTGTCCATTTCTTTTGGGTTATTTAATTTATTGGCATACAGTTGTTCATAATATTCTCTGGTAATCCTTTTTATTTTTGTAAGATCCATGATAATGATCCTACTTTCTTTTCTCACTTTGTTTCCTGAAGGTATAAGGTTGGTTACTTATTTACAATCTCCTCTTTTAATGAGGCATTTCTTTATTGCTATAAAATTCCCTCTAAACACTGCTTTTGCTGCATTCAATAAGTTTTGGTACATTGTGTTTTTGTTTTCATTTATCTTTTAGTTATTTTCTAATTTCCCTTGAGATTTCTTTTATCTATTGGTTATTTAAAAGTATGTTGTTTAATTTCCACATATTTGTGAAATTTCCAGTGTTCCTTCTGTTGATTTCTAGCTTCATTCCATTGTTGTCAGAGAATATTCTTAGCACAATTCAGTCATTTTAAATGTAGTGAGGCTTGTTTTGTGGCCTAACATATGATCTTTCTTAGAGGCTATTCCATGCGCACTTGAGAAGAATGTGTATTCTGCTGTTGTTGGGGAGGAGTGTTCAGTATGTCTGTTAGATCTAGTCGGTTTATAGTGTAGTGCTCTGTTTTCATACTGATATTCTGTCTAGCTATTCAATCCAGTATTGAAAGTAAGGTATTAAAGACTTCAACTACTGTTGTAAAACTGTCTCTTTCTGAATTCTCCCCTTTTCCTCACCCTGTTGTTTCAGAGATACACGAGTGTACTTTCATTTACAGTAGACAGTTTCTGTACAAAATGTAGTATGTACATTTAGTATGGGATAAAATTTTTCCAATGATTGATTGTAATGGAATGCTTTCCATTACAATTTCCAGTGTAATGTTTACTATCCCAAATACCATCCAAAGCTTTATTATGTATAACCTTCAGATGGAGTAGTTCTTGTGAGGTACATCAGCAGCACATATTCCAAGGATTTAGTTGCCCCAGGCAAAATGGATAGCATCTACTCCACTTAGAAACTCAGTAAGAGTTCCCTGGTGACTCAGACGGTAAAGCGTCTGTCTACAGTGCGGGTGACCCGGGTTTGATCCCTGGGTTGGGAAGATCCCCTGGAGAAGGAAATGGCAATCCACTCCAGTACTATTGCCTGGAAAATCCCATGGACAGGGGAGCCTGGTAGGCTACAGTCCATGGGGTCCCAAAGAGTCAGACACGACTGAGCAACTTCACTTTCACTTTCACTACCTCCTTAACTTCCTGCCTTGACATTGTCTGTCTTGATTTGTTTTTCCCCTCTCTGCCTTTCCCCACTCTTACTCTTTAATATAGCTAATGCCACTGTGTGAGTTCATGCATATAAAAAGGCAGCTACATGATCATACTTCTTTAAATAGAAATGATAATCATTTAATTATTTTTGATTCTAATTCAAAATTATACTTATTTTGTAGACTCTGAGTATAATAATCTTTGTGTCACAGATTGAGCCTTGTCTGTATATTTCAGTTCATCCTGATAGGATTTTTTATCTGTACAGTGGGAAAATTTACTCCATTAATTTCATAACAATGAGCTACTTTTATTAAAAGCAAAATCCCACCATCTCTTTTGATTTGAAATCCATCTACTTTTGATAATCTTTCACCTGGTTAGATATAATTCTCTAATTAATCATAGTCCATAAATTGAGATTTAAATAAAGAAGTGGAAAGTAAACACGTGTGACACAAAGCTTCTGATCTTGATGCCAGGTTTTTCCCCACTGAAGATATATTAGAGTCTTCTAGTGCCAGTGGCTGTGGAAAAGCTTCAGTGTTTTCCAGTTGAAAGGGACTATAGTGCTTTCTTTAGATGGGATTCACTTAATGATGTTGTCATTTGGTCTGAGTCCTTGTATTTTCATTACTAAACCACCCTCCTCTGCGGTCCAAGAAGACTTCAGTTAGACCAGCTGGATAGACAGAAGGGATCATGATAAGACTGGGGTTACTGTTATTTAAATACGGTTAGAGACTCAGTAGAAATAGGGAAGACACTCATTTGTTTAGGATCTGGAAGAGTAAAGGAAGGATGCATTAAGCAAGAGGTGGTTGCACTGAGCTGGAAGAGAGAGAGAGAAGGAATCTTAGCATGGAAATGAGATTGGGTTCAAATTTAGAAAGTCTGTGCCCCTTTTTAATTTAGCATTTGTTGTCCTTTTAAATTAAATCCTCTCAGTAAACTATCTCCAGAGTGTATGAACACAAAAATGGTAAAAATGAAGTATTTAAGAAACCACTGGTTATTTTGTTTATGCCTGTATGGTTGGCCCATAATGTATTCCATATTCTATCTTGTATTATTTAACTTTAAAAAACATTTGAGAATTCTTTTTTGTATTAAACACAAAGTAAAATAAGTAGCACTAATACATCCTTGTTCGTTATACTATGTAATACTCCTTTGATCTGGTTAAATACCAACAATAAAAATTTAATTTAAAAAGAATCTTGAGCATATGAAATCTCTCAGTCCCAGTTAATTGAATCAGCCATGAGCATGGGATAAAACAAAGATGGGAATGGTACTGTAACCAGATTTCCAAGCCAGGCACTGACTGTTGGACTAAATGTTTAAAAACATTCAGTTTTCCTGTTATAGTCTCCCTCCTATAGCTTAGATGTCTGAATTACTGAAATGAGTAGATGGCAGGAAGTCACCCCCCACCCCCACAAGCATATATATATATTAATATTAAGAGAGATGGGTGGTCATATCAGATGAAGAAAATAATAAAGTATTTAGATTGTAAAGCACTGTTTTATAGTTTAGCATATTAGAATAAATGAAACTGTAAATTTTATCCTTTTATGGAACATTGAAGATGAATAATTACATTTCTTGTTATGACTCTGATTTATGCAAGTTTCTGCCCAAGTCCATAGCTTAAGGAAATCCTCACAACAGGGTTTAGGATTTTAAGTTTGCCATTTGATCTTACGTTTTCTTTTGATAGAAGTTGCATTTGCTTGTAAAAGTTAGACCAATTCAGCAATAGAAGCAAAGGTGATAACTTTCATCTTTGGTATATTTTTCAGAGAGGTGATTATTTTTTTATCTTTTATGGGCCTAAGATTTAATTAATCATTAAGGTCTGATGAGATTGACAGTAGTTTAACTAAAAAGATTTAGATGATAGGTAAACAGTACACTGTTTTGCTTTCTATTCCTATTATCAGGATCTGCTGGGCTTAATTCCTTTTTCCTCCCCTCTGGAAGAGGCTTACTAGGAAATTTCTTTGAAATTTTTGCTTAATCTCCTCTCAGATTTTAAGAATGAGGGCTTTTCTAGTGGTTCTGACAGTAAAGAATTTGCCTGCAATTCAGGAGACCCAGATTCCATCCCTGGGTCAGGAAGATCCACTGCCCGAGGGAATGGCAACCCACCCCAGTATTCTTGCCTAAAGAATTCCATAGACAGAGGAGCCTGGTAGGCTACAGTCCATGGGATTGCAAAGAGTTGGACATGACTGAGAGACTTTCTAACTTCTTTTTAAATTGCCTCTCAGATTTTAAGAATGATTAACATACTTGCTTTGTTGTTTGTTTAGCAGAAATAAAATATTACCTTCTGAAAATTTACCTCCCTGTGTATCTTGGTGTAACTGTCTTTAGTTGATTTATCACAAGACCTAATGTAGAATGTGTTGCCTTGGATCATCAGAAGACTTTTTTTTTCCCCAGGCAAGTGAAAATTACATCCTGTCTAATGACACCAGATCACAGCTCAAATTTCTTGAAAAGCTAGATCAACTGGAGAAGCAGAGAAAGGATTTAGAAGAAAGAGAAATGTTACTTAAAGCAGCCAAGGTAAGATCCTGTGTGATTTATGAGTGAACGTGGCCTGTCAAGGAGGTCAGAATCAGCTTTATCATTGGTTGACTGTCTTGGTTTTGTTAGGCCATTAGATGTCTCTGAAGGATTTCTTAAAATGGAATAGTTTTTAAAAGTTTATTTGTTTTGAAATCATCCCATACTTATAGAAAGGTTGCCAGAACAACATATCTCCTTTTCAGTTGAGGTTCCCATTTTTAAGATTTTAGTGTACTTGCTCCATCTCCACTGTTTCTGGAAACAGGTACACACTCCCATCATCATTATTCTTCTGTTCTTTTTCTCTTTCAATTTAGAGGTTTCTTGTGCTGTTTTCTCTAGTCTTTCTCTAAACCTTTGAAAGCAAGCTTTAGACATGACATCTCATCATCATTTCTGAACATTCTAGCATGTGTTTGGAAAATCAGGGACATTCTCCTGTGTAACCTTCCAAGTCAGGATGTGACTCATATGACACGACCCTCTAAATCTTTAGACCCCAGCCAGGTTTCACCGGCTGCCTCAGATCTTTTTCCTTAAAGGCCCGTTTTCACGTTCAGGTGTATGTGTCTGTTCAGTTGTCATCTCTTTTCAGACTCCTTTCAGATCTCCTCACTCTTTCCCTTTCATATCTTTGACAGGTTTCGAGAGTACAGGCCTTTTCTTCGGCAGGTGACTCTGGGCCACAGTTCATCTTGTGTTTCCTCACGATTTCATTTAGGACATGCATTCTTGGTGGTTATACATACATAGAAATGATGCTGCATTCTTCTCAGCTGATTCTTTCAAAAGGCATACTTGATCAGTTCTATTTTAAACTTGCCCTTTTCCCCTTTGTAATCAGTTATTTTTTTGTAGAAAGATATTATAGGATTATACCAATAATCCCATTCTTTATCAAACTCTACTTAGCAACTTTAGCATGTATAGATGATATCTGTGAATCAGCTACATCTACGATGGCTGCCAAATGGTGATTCTTTATTCTTGTCACCTCTTCCACATTTGTTAGTACTGTCTTCCGTGGAAGAGCCTTTTTTTCTCTGATTCATTCACTCATTTTTATCAGTATGGCCTTTCAGATATCTGTTTGATTCAACAGGTTGTAACCTATTACTGTCATGATCTATTCTGATACTCAGATCTCTTGAGTGGGAGACCCTTCCAGCTGGCACCTCTGTCCTTTTGTCTTTTTAAGATCATTCACTGAACATGTCCTTACTTTCAGGCACAAGATACTCCAGCCCCAGCTTTCTTTCATCCTCCCCAGCCATAGAATCAGTCATTTCTCCCAGGAACCCTATATTTTTTTAGTTGAGGATGATACCCAGAAACAAGATTAGAGTCTACCATGTGCTCCTTGCTCAGAGGGTATTATTACATTAGATCCTGTCAAATAGACAGAGGTAGGAAGTCTATGTGTGGTATGTATATATGTACACACATGCATATAAACACACATAGATCAATAAATATTTTTCTGTGTGTGTATGTTATAAAACCATAAATTTATATTCTAAAACTATAATTTTTTATATGAATACCTTTGACTTTATTTCATATCTTAGGATTCTTCCTAGCCTTAACCTTTCCATGTTTATAAGTATTTACTCTGTAGTCAGAAACTTGGCTCTCATTATCCTTGATATATTTACTTATATTTGCTGTTTACTTATTTGATCAATGTAATTAATCTTCCAAGCAGCCATGTTGACTGACTCTTCTGTCTGCCACCACTGTTATCCCTGCCCTCATTTCATGGCCCATGTAATTGGCCACCGTGCCTGCTGGCCCTTGCCTTGGCGAGCCTCCTCAGCCCTTCGTCTCCCTTCTTTCTTGGCCTCTGGTCTACACCTTCATGTGTCAGGGTGCACCAAAGCCATGTGACTGAGCAGCTCCTCACTGCCCACAGTCTCAGTCCCCATTTTGACCCCTCTTACACTGGGAAAGGCAGCTGGGACAGGCAGATGCTCTTTCCTGAGCCCGTGAGTATTATAAGCAAGCATGCAGCCACTGTAACGAGGTGGTTTATTGGGATTTTATTTCCAATTACTATGCTGTAAACAAGGTTATAAACTATTAAATACTTGTTTAGTTCTTATTGGATGTAGTATATTATACTTGCTCTCACTTTCCCTTCTTTTCACCTTGTAGTCTTGCAGATTTTCTTACTCAGTAAATAACATTGTTACTCACCCAGATGTTCAAGCCACAAAATCTTGGACATCATCATTAACTCCTTTCCTCTCTTCTTGTCCTGCATCCAGTCATTTCCTATTCAGTCCCCAAAGTAACAGTCACCCTCTCTTCATCACCGTTGTCACCACTCTAGTCTAAGTCATCTTGCCCTTGAACATTTATAATATCTTCTAACTAACACCCTTTTCTTTCTACAATCCATTTTTCATACTGTTGTCAGGATAATGTTTTCATAACAAATCATGTGTGTGTCTCTGTTGCATAAAATTCCTTCAGTGGCTTCCTCTTGCAACTTAAATTAAAATCCAAACTTCTTACCAAATTTTAAAAGGCACCCACCTCCCTCTCTGACCTTGCTTCATGCTTTTCCCTTCTTCGCTCATTCAGCTCCAGTCACGGTGACCTTTCATTGCGCTCCAAGTTTGTATCCTAGACTACTGATGAGGCATCCAAAACTGAACTCTGAGTTCCCTTCCTCAGATCTAGTGCGGTCTTGACCTTCTCGGAAAGTTGGAACAATCATCCTTCCAGTTACTTAGACCGCAGTCCTAGGCATCATCACTGACTCCTGTCTTTACTTCACACCCTGTGTCCAGTCCTTCTGTAAATCTGGTTGGCTCTGCCCCCAACATATGTTTCAATCTAATTATTTATTGTCACCTTCTCTGCTCTGATGCCGGCTCAGGTCATCCTCATCTCTATCCCAGTCTTGTATCCACAACAGTTGTCTTAGAACAGCCTCCTAATTGCTCTGTGTTCCTGTGCCTCCAGTCTTGGGTCCCTTCAGTGCACCCTGTACACGGCCTCCAGGGGCCTTTCAAAAGTGTCTTGTCGGAGGCATCTCACACCTGTGCTTCAAATCCTCCAGTGGCTTTTTCTTACAACAAGAATCAAACCCCAACTCCTTACTGTGGCCCATAAGTCTACCCCTGTATCCAGCCACAGCAGCCTCCTTTTTTCCTCAAGTGTGCCAAGCAGATTCCCATTTTTTGGCTTCTACAGTGACTTCTGCCTTCTGCTTGGGGTGTTCTTCCCTCAGATATTTGTGTGGCTGCCTCCTGCCTGTCATTCAGATCTCTACTCAGTTTTCACTCCTTAGCGATGGATTCTGTCCCATTCTAGCTATAGAAGTACTCCCCTCCTATCACATGATCCTATTTTCTTTATAGTACTTATCATTCTCAGTCATTTTTTATTTTTCCCCGATCATAAATGTATTATATTTCACAGCTGTGTTTAATTTCTGTAAATTTTATTATTTTTATCTTCTTAGGCAGGGAATTTGTCTTGTCATCTCATTTCTGTATCTCCAAGGCCTAGAACAGTGACAAGTCAAGTAGGATATATACTATGGGTAGTCAGCAAATGTTGGTTGACTAACAAAGACTTGATAACAAAATATGCCCATTTTATACTGAGGCAAAGCATTATATACACAGACATGTACATGCACACATATACACACATGTTTTTGTGTGAATACATACATACACATACTCATTCTCTCCTAACATAGATATAATAATAAAGGAGTTTTCTTAGTTTCAGTTGGAGTGAAGTTCTATTAGATTGGACACAAAATGAAGGAAAAAATTACTTTGAATAGAATCTTATGTAAGTATTAAGGTGTTTAAAATTGGAAGGCACTCAAATCTAAACAATTTCTAGTGTTTTCCTTTAACAAAATTCTATTAAACTAGGAAAATACCTTTAGCTTTTATTTTGTTAGCCTATCTTTAGTTAGCTAATGTTTCATTTTATAGAATAAATATTCAGATTTATAAGGAATTAGGTAATTTTGTTAGAATGAGAAAAAGGATACACCTGTCCACAGCATCTTTTTCAGCAGACAAATGTCCATGGTGTCAAAAATAAAATTCCTTCCTTACCTTTTAATGCATCATAGCATTATATGTAGAAGATAGCTCTCTTCTTATAGCAGTCTTCTAGGATTATTCATTTTTGGAATGTTGAACTGAATTAGCATGGAAAGAAACATTCAATAAACAGTTTTTGAACTTTTACTTGGGCACAGCATTCAACTAAGTGCTATAGAGAATCCAAAGAAGTTAACATACTCCAGTGAAAACACTGGGATGTATTTCTTCCTTAATTCTTAAAAATTACACATTTGAAGAGAGAGAAATTCAGTTCAAAGTTCATTAGTTTCTTGATTTTAATAGTCTTTGAAATACCATGTGTTTTACCAAAATGGCTTCACCTGAGGATCAGCCATTGTTGATTGTTTTCATTCATTGAAGCCAACAGTTATCCTCCTCTGCTTTCCTTCCTCTGTACCATACATTTTTCAGTTTTTAGTGTTCCAACAAGAACGTCATGCCTCAACTGGACCTGACCGACATTGTTAGCATCATTTTCTGTATAAACTTCCTCCAGGCTAGAACTGCAGCAGCCAGCCCAGATGATGAGGTGGGAGGAGGTAGGGGGAGCACAGGACTGGATTGAGGCATTTTCCCCCAGAGCTAAGGTTTTCAATCACAAGAGAAAATTGTCATTTATTAAATATTTAACGGCAACTATGGTGTTTAGATGCTAGTAATTTCTATTAAAATTTTTTTTTCCTTTGATAGAGTCGTTCCAATAAAGAAGATCCAGAACAGCTGAGATTAAAGCAGAAAGCCAAAGAGGTAGGACTTTCAAGTTACCATGCTTGTCTTTGTGTTGGAGGGAAGGTTGGCAGCTCTCTCCTGGCAATTAGGTCAGGGTTTATTTTGCTGTTGCATACCATTTGCCGAAGCCTTGGGGAAGGACAGGAACTGCTGAAGGCAAGGGCAGTGCTTCAAATGAGGTCAATGAGTTATGTGCTCTCTTTTTAAAATTTATTTTCAAGGCTTAGGCCTGTCTAGAAATGGCTCTTTGTAAACTCCAGCAGCCCACTTGGAGGAATATAATGTGGGATTAAAAAAAAAAAGAAAAAAAGAAACTTCTGAGATTTAGCATCTGGGACTGTACAATAGGCTACATTTTTCCAGGGTAATTGTTCGTTTTGTAAATCTGATACTGCTTATAATTCTTTGGCTGGGAGGTGGTACTGGGATTTAGTTTTAAATGGAAAACGCCTCTGGCTTTTAATTTTCTGGGCCCAGCAGTTTTCTGTTCTGGAATGGAGCCCTTGTTTCACACAGTTCATGTTTAGCTGCAGGGGTTTTAGTTTATAGCTTAGACTGGTTAAGCTTTTACTCCCAGAGGCCTCTGCATAGCAACTGTAGAAATCAACAAATAAGTTCATTTATGTCTGCAGCCTCCTCTCAGTAGCTGACTTTTTACATTTCCCAATATCCATTTCCTGACTTTTCTAGCCCCAGAGAAAAAAGCTCCACTAATTGGAGCTTATTTTAATTGAGCCTTAATATTGGATCTCACTGGAGTTGCCCCCAGAGCTGCTGAGAACAGAAGGAAATGAAAGTACCTAAGGTTGAAGATGGGGTGTGTGTGGATGAGGGTATGTGTGTGTGTGTGAAATTTTTCACTTGACCTACAGATTCTTTTCCCTGCTGAATAAATCATCAAGCCTGTTCACATTTCTGATTAAGGATCTGACAGCAGACGATAATAAAGACAATTGAGGTGTGAGACGTGTGATATGGAGCTGAAGAAATTGGTTTCTATAGTTACTTGACTGATTTCATGCAATTTTTAAGGATCTTTGTGCTAAATAAGAGTGATTTCCTGAGCAACCTTTTTCCTTAACTGTGCCTCTTGAACTATGAAATTTGTTGTTGCTTAACATTGCTGCACTCAGCTCCTAGGTGCCAGCAGCAGCAGGTTATTTATGAATGTTTTAAGGGCCCTTATTGTTTGGATTAATGTAGGAGCTGAGGCAAAACAAATGGAAATCTAGTAAGATCCTTACAATCAATGTGGTGTGTTTTCACTAAAACAGAAAAGGAAGAAAACATGAACTCTGGATGGAGGAGTTTCTGGATTGGGGTGAAGAGAACTATGAAAGAAGAACACTAAAAATGAAACCAGAATCATTTTATTTCAGCGACAAAAAGATTTCTGGTACTCATTTCTTTCCAGTGGAAAACTTACCTAAAAAACGTCACCTGAAAAAAGGAACCACAAGAACTATACCTATACCCTTTTAGCAAGCCTGGCTTGATGGTAGATTGTGTGGGGATGGGCACTCTGTGGCTGCTTTGAATCATGAGTGGTCCTCTTTGTTTTCATTAAGGACTGATTAGATGCTTATCTTGCTTTGAATTTCAGCCACTTTTGGAATATATATATCAGAAATCTTACCCTTTTATCATTGAAGGCCTTTCCTGTCTGTTCTTCCTTCATAAACCTTGAAACATCTGGATGATTAGATTAAATTTTCCTTCAGGTTTATATGGAGTGGTTTTGGTTGGTTGGTTGGTTTTTCTTTTAATTGTGTGTGTGTTTTAAATTCCCTAAGGGATGAATAGTTGGATAGGATTTTTCTAAGAAAAGTCTTAAGAGCAAATGTGAAGGGAAAAAACTTCTCCCTGAGAGCAGGTGGTAGCAAACCTGTTCTTTTTCCTCCCCACTCTTTTCGCAGCTCCATTTATTTCTTTTTCCTAGCAAGATTTAAAAGACCATATATTTTCTTTCCAAAATATTTGGAAAGTTTTCTGGTTGCTTCCTATTCTAAATCCTGTTTGATTAAAAAAAGAATCAAATACATTGGCCCAGTTCCAAGAACAGGGCCACCCTGTATTCGTTGCAAATGTTTGATAAAAGTAAAATATTGTCATTTTTGTCATCTCTTTGCCCCCTAGAGCTCTTGATAACTAATATTCTTAGGGCCTCTAGTTTAGAATCAAATATACCATTTTTTTTAAGAAAAAACTTTTTATTTTGTATTGGTGATATACCCAGTTAACAATGTTGTGGTAGTTTTAGTGGATGGCAAAGGGACTCAGCTGTACATATACGTGTATCCATTTTCCCCCAGCTCCCCTTGCATCCAGGCTGCCAGATAACAGATTTCCATGTGCTCTTCAGTAGGTCCTTCTTGTTTATCCATTTTAAATATAGCAGAACACCATATTTTGTTTGGTTGCAATAATCATTGACCCTATCTTACAGAGTTGAATTGTTATATGGTAATTTGTAAGGTTATCTTTTGGGATATGCTAATTGTCATCACACTGGTATAAACTATAAAGCTTTGGTTTGTAATGTTTTGGTATTTGGCTGTTTAGGAAGTTTTCACTGTCCAGTCACGAAAATTAGTACAGATGCCTTCCAGTTTCTCAGTTAAAACTGCTTTGCTCTCCTTTTCCAGGTAATTACCTACCTACCAAGGTGTGCACAGGAAATAGATTAATGACCTTATCTTACAAATATACAACTCCAAAGAACTATTTAAAGAAGCTGTAGGCTTTATTGATCCTGAGAAATGTATCAGCAATGATGTCTGTCATATAAATATTAAATCACAGCTTGAGTCCCCTTCGCACATAGGCTTATACTTTGTGATTGCTTCTAGCTGTTAAGGGCTAGAGTTTTGGTCTTGGTCATTTCTCCCCTTGGTTTTCTTGTCTCTAATACAGATTTAGAATCTATGCATTCCCTTTGACAAACTGTTCAATTGAGCAGGTTTTTGTAAAGGTGTATAATTTCTCTTCATCCTTCCTGTTGATTTCTTCCAATGTTGTCGTTCTCATTCAGCACATTAAAAACAAGTAAGCTGGGTACTTCCCTGGTGGTCCGGTAGCTCAGGCTCTGCGCTCCCATTGCCAGGGGCCTGGGATCGATCCCTGGTTGGGGAAACTAGATCTCATATGCCCCAACTAAGATCTAGTGCAGCCAAATACATACATACATACATAAAGTGGGCTGCCTTTGGGTTTGCCTTCAGCTTAATCTCAATCCAGTGAAGTAGCTCCTGCTACATTCTATTCTTATTGACCTGACAGGTTATCTGTCTATTTGAAAACCTTGTTGTCTGGCTAAAATGTCTGTGGATATCAGACTTTCTTTAAATTTATTTTTATTGGAGGATAGTTGTTTTACAGTGTTGTGTGGGTGTCTGCCATACGACGACACAAATCAACCATAAGAATACATGTATCCCTATGTCCCTTCCCTCTTGAATTCTGATTCCAACTTCAGGGCCATCTTTTTCCTGTTTTCTATTTTTGCCTAGAAAAACGTCATTATACATGTCTTCTCTCTTTATTGCAACTTTATATTTTAAATATGGACACTTTTAAATTGTGATGGCTTTTTTTCCCCTTAGATGCTTTTACTAAAATGTAAGTACTGACATTCTTCCATTTCACTGTCCATTTGTGAAAGGTTTTAAATAGATTACTAATTGCCAGATTGTGACTTCAAACAAGCAGGGGCATTTTTGTTCAGTGCATCTGCAGACTTGTCTGAAATGTGTGCTGTGTGTCCTAGATTACCATCTAGCCTTGAGTGTTTTCCTTTCTTACAACATCATCCAGAATTCTATGGAGCAAGCCATCTGACCTTGGAGTTCAAACACCCTGATTCCTTAAACATTTGTTATATATATTGTGACCCTTATTTCCTTTTAAATATCTTCTTTCTCCTGTGGGAATGTGAGTTCAGTACATCTGTGCAGAGTGAGACAAAGAATTCATTTTCTTTGTAACAATTCCTAGCATTCCCATTTTCATTTGTTATCAGACAATAGAAGAATGAAAAAGGAATGTAAGACATGTACCTACTGGCACCTTAGTTTCACAGTACTTCCTCTAGAAACTACAAAAATAAATATTAAATGATTAAAATGCATAACAGTACCCTGAACTATTTGGGATTTTTGCTTGTATAAAATGTAAGAACTATAAGAAATACAATTCTCCATAAAACATTATTGTACAATAAATAGAATACTGACTCATAAGACTCATTACTGATTAGAAAATATATTATTTAGGTACAAGAAGGGTAAGGGACTTTTATAATGAAATTTTAAAAGATATGGAGTCAATGAAATGTGATGGTAAAGGCTAACTGTTAAATTATAGCAACTTAAAAAAAAATAAAAAAATAAATTATAGCAACTTGTGTTTAAACTTTATGCTGGTTCTCCATGAGCCAAAATTCATGGAACACTGAACAGGGCAAAATGAAATTTGTCATTAAAAGTACATTCAAGTGCTCGCTTCGGCAGCACATATACTAAAATTGGAACGATACAGAGAAGATTAGCATGGCCCCTGCGCAAGGATGACACGCAAATTTGTGAAGCGTTCCATATTTTTTTTAAAAAAAGTGCATTCAAGCAATCAAATTAATGTAGTATGGAGAAGGTGTTTTTTTTGTTTTTTTTTTTTTAGTTGGAGGCTAATTAATTTACAATATTGTAGTGGTTTTTGTCATACATTGACATGAATCAGCCATGGATATACATGTATTCCCCATCCCGATTCCCCTCCCACCTCCTTCTCCACCCGATCCCTCTGGGTCTTCCCAGTGCACCAGATCCGAGCACTTGTCTCATGCATCCAACCTGGGCTAGTGATCTGTTTCACCCTAGATAATATACATGTTTCGATGCTGTTCTCTTGAAACATCCCACCCTCGCCTTCTCCCACAGAGTCCAAAAGTCTGTTCTGTACATCTGTGTCTCTTTTGGAGAAGGTGTTCTTAAAATGACAAGTTATAAAGAACTTGTATACAT